CCCCAAAACCCCAAAACCCCAAAACCCCAAAACCCCATTAGACAACCAGATATAGAATATGTATAAAACTTATAGAATAAGAAATTACTTTTACTCCTGAGTTCAGAGATTCCGTAAAATGTAGCAGGAGCTAAAAATTCGACACGAAATTCTTTATCCCTTGTCTTTTAGATTCCTCATTCATCACCTCTTGAAGAAGGAATCTGAATGATTGTTTGTGGGTTTTATTGATATCTGGCTTTGGGATTTTAGGACCTAAAATACATAGTTAGACAAATAAAATGAATATTTCACTAAAAGTGGTCATTACTTAGTTTAAACGGAATCTTAGCACTGTTCTCTATTGTTTTCTTGGCTTTGGTAGTTTTAATTTTAGGTGCAGAAAATGCTTCCCATTGACTATCTGAAAGAGTTAAATTATTTGGACAATCAATTTTTAGTATTGGGGAGAAATCAGTTCTTGCTTTCGTAATTCTCTCAGCCTTAGCAAAGTCCTCGTCTCCTAAGAGTCTCGAAGGAATTAGATCTTTATTTTTCTCTTTATTTATATCCGAATCTGTCAAAGACTTTTGCTTCTTCGAAAACACTTTCTTTCCTGGGTTTTCTTTCAGTAAGGTTTGGCTTCTGCTCTATTTTTGAATAAAGAGGGCTGATAGTCATGTTGACATCAAACACCTTGTAATCCCTTGGTAAATCCTTTTCCATTGTTCAAAGTCCTTTGGTGTTAAAACTGATAGAAGAAGATCTTTTGTTTATAGAAGCATTTTTGACAGATTTAGGTACAGCTTTCAATTTGCTTGGAGAATCAAATTTCAGACTTAAGGGAATCATAAAGGGAGATTTTAAATTCCTCATCCCAAAATTAGATGATGTAGGAGACTTGTTGCATTCATCTCGTATTAGATTTTCTCTCCTGATTGATGAATTTATAGATGCAATTGTATCATTTTTCCAATATGGATCTTCTATTTCGTCATGAATACCTGAAGCTATTGATCCCTCTCGTGATATCCTGATTTCAGAACTAATGTTTCTCTGTCTAATCTTTACTAATCCATAGTCCTGCTTTCTTGGAGTCTTTCTGTGACTGCTTCAAGATGGTTTTCCTTGATGGAGTTTTGAGAATTTATAATAATTTTTAGTCATTTTATTTCTAGCTTTCTGAATAATACTTGAAATATTAAACTTTTTGTCAAGCTTTTTGCTTTGTTGCTGCTTTTTCTTCTTCCTACTGATTCCAAAAATTGGGAGAATGTTCTTTCTCTTCTGCCCAACTTCATCCTTATACATTTGTCTGATTGCTTGAAACTTTTTCTTAATGTTTTCGATAATGGAAGGATCCATTCTAGTAATAATTAAAGTATATCGAGTATAGATAAAAAGGGGTTTTGGGGTTTTGGGGTTTTGGGGTTTTGGGG